CGTGAAGACAAACCTGAGGAGATGCCCGAGGGGTTCCTGAGCCCTGGTGGGGGTGTAGGACGTGTGTGTGTGTGTGTGTGTGTGTGCTTGAGACAGTGTGGGCGAGAGTGAGGGTGTGTGTGAGAGACCGAGGGGTGCACACATGAGTGACTGAGAGGGTGTGTGCCAGGACAGTGGAGGGGGACATGAAGAAGGAGGCTGTGCCACATTCATCTCTGAGTTGCCTTCACAAAGAATCAGAATTGGGTGCAATCTCTGGGATCTTGTGTTCCCTGCCTCCCTGCTCAGGAGATGGCAGCAGGGGCCCCCCACCTCATTGCCTCCATAACCTTGTCCTTGACCCTCCCTTCCCCTCATCTCTCTGCAAATCCCATAGCTCCACAATCCCACTGTTCTACCTGGGAAACCCCACCCAAAAACCCAAACCCACCCTCCCTCCAGCAGCCAGGATGGGCCCTGGAACCGCCACCTCCAAGAGCCCGATTCCCACTGCAGCCTGGAAAGTTCCTTCTGACCTTGCCCCCACCCTTCCTCCCTCTCCCACTCTTCTTCCTCTCTCAAGTCCACCAGCCCTGGGGTCCCATGAGCCATCTCTACTGGAGTTTCCCGCTAGCCATGCTCACGGCCCACCCCTCACCCTCAGGAGTCCTCCCTGACCACCTCCCACTCCCTTCCCTGCCTACTTCCTCCCTTGTCCTGCCACCTCTCACATCCCATCTAGCTCCCTGTGTGTTTCATTTGTCCACTCTCCTCCACCCCACAGGAATGTGAGCCCCATGAGAACCTAGAATGTGGGGGTGCTCAGTCAATTTCTGATGTCTGTGAGTGTCTTGGGCTCTGCCCCCAGGTCAAGCTCCTTCTCCCAGGTGCAGGTCCTCGCTGTGGACAGGGCTCATTCACCCAGGCCCAACCAGATAGTGACCCCGAGTCCTAACTCTTGCCTCCATTCCCCTATGTCTTGAGACAGTCCACCCTTCTTCCAGGCCTCCTCAAAGTGGTACCTTCTCTGGGCTGCCCCCCCCCCCACATCCCAGCACCAGCAGCGCTAACAGTATCATCACCTGTAGCCTATTTGCATCGCCGTGTCAAGAAAGTTCTTTCACTAAGAACCATTTTGAATGGACATCAACACGGCCCTTCTCTGAAGGGCCCCTCTGAAGCATCCTGTAAAGGCAGCCTCACCACCCAGAGGCCCAAAGCCCAGAGAACCAAGGGTGAGGAGCCTGGGGAGGGGGTGGAGCCCTGGGTCTCCCCCCAGAAGGAATTACTGTGTTTGTGGAACTGCTTGCTCAGCACCCTTCCTTCGCGAGGCCCTCCCCAAACCGGCCCAGCACACAGTAGTCCCTCAGCAAGTTATCTGTTGAAATAGACAAGCGAGAGGATGGAGGAATCAATGAGTGCATGGGCTCTGGCAAAGCATCTCTGGGCCTCCTGCCCCATGGCCCCCTTGGCGTCCGCACCCTCACTCCCCATCTGGTTGGGGGGCTGCTGTGTGTGGACCAGCTGAGTCAGGCCCTAACCCCGGGCAAGGGGCCACCGTGGTTCTTGCTGATTCTGCTGACGGGGCTGAAAATGTTCTGCACCTCCCTCCGCAACCCGCCATTACTCATGGTTGGCACTCATCCCCAAGCAAGGGGGGACCCGCGGAGCAGCCGAAGCCTCCTGTGTGTTTGGAGGAAGGGGTGGCCGGAGGCTGGGCTGGGAGGAGGCACAGCAGGAATTGTGAGCAGCTGTTCCGAGTGCAGTAACCACATTTTTCTGAGCTGAAAAATTAGGACACAGGATGTAGCTGAGGGTTTTCTCAGAGTTGTTCATTTAACGAGTAGAAAAATCTTACAAAGGCATGAAAGTTAAAGCATATTTAGTTATGTAGGTGATGGGTTGTCTTCGTTGAAAAGAATCTGAGTTTCCGAAATCGGGGAAATTCTGGAAATTAATGATTTGATGTGACTAATATTTGGGGAGCACCTGGGTCAACCCAGTCCTTTGTGCTTGCGCTCTAATGGGGAGCAAAACAGGCGTGACCCTGGCCTCGGAGAGCTCACGTGGGGAGGCTGACATTCCTCACATAATTTCACAATTCAGTGCTTTGAGCAGCCTTGACAAGCACTATGGGGGATTTACAGTTCCCATGTGGACAGGGGGCGGTGGGGGGGGTGTCCAGGAGGACTTCTCTGAAGATGTAATGTTTGAGGCGAGACAGGGGCTTTTAGGAGTTAACTGTTGAAAGGATGGGGATGGAGGGGTGGGGAAAGCACATTTCGGGCAGGAGAAAGGGCATATGCAAAGGGCCTGTGGCAGAAAGACGCGCTGGGTATTTGAAGGAAAGGAGGGCAGTCCAGGTGGCTGGGATGTGATGAGTGAGCAGAGCAGAAGCCTGGAGATGCTGGCAGGGGCCCGTCCAGGCAGTGCCCACCGGGCCATAAGAGTGTGGTGGACTTTCTCCTGCGGGCGATGGGGAGCCATGGGCTGTCTGATCGTACATCTGGATGTTGATAATGTTGGTAATTATAGAAGTGTTTGGTGAGTGCTTACTATGTGCCAAGCACCATTTCAGCCATTTTACAGATAAGAAAAGTGAGGGCTGGGAGGGGAAGTGACTTATCCAAGGTCACACAGCTGGCAAATGACAAACGAAAGTCAGACTGAGCCTGTCTGGCTCCAAAGTCCCTGCTCTTGTCCCACACACAAATCTACCCTTATCTGGACATGGAAGGCCAAGGGACATGCAGGTGACCCCCACTCCTGCCTTGCTATGGTTCTGCCTCCTCTCTGTTCTGCGTCCCAGGCCTGGGTGGGGACTCTAGGTCACAGGGTCAGCCGGGGCTGGAAAGACCCAGCTCAGTTCCTGCCCAGGCCCAGCAGGGGAAGTAGGGGTTGCAACATCAGGCTGAAATTCTAGAGAAGCTGGGACCCCAGCCAGGGTGGGGCCTTCACCCCAGCCTGTTCACTAGGGCACAGGTCACACTGCAGCCCCAGGAACGCAGCTCACTCACCTATTTGGGAGTCGAGGGCTTTGAGATGCGGCTGCATTATTCCAGCCGTGAGGCAGCACCCCGGCCCCTTGCTTCCTCCGGTAGAAACGGGTCCAGATGATGGCACTACTATGGACTCAGCAGTGGCTTTAAAAAGTCCTTGTTCCCCCAGCGATCATTAGAGAAATGCAACTCAAGACCACCTCACACCTGTCAGGATGGCTACTACAAAAAAGCAGAAAACAACAAGTGCTGACAGGGATGTGGAGACGCTGGAAACTCGTGCACTGTGTGGGAACGTAAAACGGTGCAGATGCTGTGGAAAACAGTATGATGGTTCCTCAAAATTTTAAAATAGAATTACCATATGATCCAGTAATTCCGCTTCTGGGTACAAACCCCAAAGAATTGAAAGCAGGGTCTCGGATATTTGTACACCCATCACTGCAGCATTACTCACAATGGCCAAAAGGTGGAAGCAACCCAAGTGTCCATCAACAGAGAAAAGGATAAACAAAATGTGGTGTATCCATACAATGGAATATCATTCAGCCTTAAAAAGGAAGGAAATTCTGACACCTGCTTCAGTACGGCTAAACCTTGAGGGCATTATGCTGAGCCAGACACAGAAGGACAAATATTGTCTGACTCCACTGATATTAGGTACCTAGAATGGGCAAATTTATAGAGACAGAAGATAGAATGATGTCTGCTGAGGCCTAGCAGGAGGGAGAAGTGGGGAGCTATCATTTGATGGGTACAGAGTTCTGGAGATGGATGGATCGTGGGGATGGTTGCACAAGAATGTGAATGTACTTAATGCCACTGGACTGTACACTTAAAAATGATTAAGATGGTAAATTTAAAAAAACAATCCTCAGTCTAAGTTCTCTCAAGTTGTTAGCAGTGGGCTTTCTTCTAAGTTGCATTTATAAGGAATAAAGTGCCAGACGGCAGTTGTCATTAGGGCAGTTAAGAATCACAGACACCGATGCTCTGTGGGTGAGTGACCTCACCTCTCCGAGCCTCAGTTTCCTCATGGGAGAAATTGGGATAATGGTGGTGCCTCCCTGCTGGGGCCACTGTGAGGATTTCATGATGCCACTGAGGTGGTCTGTCCAGTGGCCGGTGTCCAGAGAGCACTCAGCACCCTACAGCCTGGCAAATATTCCTCAGGCTTCGGGGTTTGGGGACATGAGCAGCACAGGCCCAAGACAGAGGAGAAAAGACCCTTTACCCGCACTGTACACATGGGGAAATTGAAGCCGGGAGGAGTCAGGAGACTTATCCAACGTCTCTTGGCCTCCCTTGAACCGGAATGTGGTTTTCCAAATCTGTATTGGTTAGCAAGGCTGGGTTGCGCTGCAGTAACAACTAAGCCCCACATCGAACGGTCTCAACACAGCAAAAGCTTGTTTTGCGCCCAACCTGCCATGAGTCCCGGTGATTCTCCAGGCAATTGCCCTCCATGTGAACACTCAGGGATCCAGGCTGCCTCTGTCTTGTGGCACCTCCATCTCTGGGTCACTGAGGCAGAGAAGAGCATCACTTCCTCCCACAACCCATTGGCCAGCACTGGTCACTGGGTGGCAGGTCGTGAGAAGAAGGAAGGAAAGGAGGACTGGCTGTGGGTGAGACCCGGACATTTCTACTTGCCATCTTAGTGGGGTGAAGGCCAGCAGATGGCTGTTTCCAGGGAACACTCACTCACAGTGAACTGAGTCAAAGAGGAAAGGCTTTAAAGCTGGAATTATTCCCCCTCCTGCCCAACCCCCAGCTCCCTTCTTGGACAACCAGGTACCAGTGCTATTCTGTGGGTTTACAGCAGGGCGAGTGTGGAGGTGCCCCTCTTGAAATGTAAATGAAGGTTTATTGTTCTTTTTCCCTCCTTGCAAAAGCAGGCAGGTATTTGCCATTTGCTCTTCCTTTGGGCAGCGCCTTCACGTTTATATAATCAGTCCCCCGATGGGTATCTAGGGGGTTTCCAAAGTTTTGCTATTATAAACAGTGATGCAATGAATTTCCTGTGCCTTTTCCCTTGTCACCGAGCGAGTGTTTCTGTGGTATAAATTCCTAAAAATGGAATCGCTTGGTCAAAGGGCAGGTGCATTGAACAATCTGACAGCTCTCTGGCAGCAGGTGCGGCCTCCAGGGTCAGGAGTTGCTTTTAAGAATAGTTGCTAATGGAGCCCAGTGAGTTCTGGGGACCAGGTGAGTTCTCTGTCCCAGGGGTGTTCCAAATGGGACACTAAGGAGGGGAGGTGGGAAGAGGGGATGCCCTCCCCATCTTGACTCTGTGATCCCAGTTCTAATACTGGTGCTCTGCCATGCCCATTTTACAGACAGCAAACACTGAGTTCCAGAGAGGTTGAGTCACTTAACTATAGCTGCCCACCAAGCAGCATTTGAGCCATGGTGCCAGCCTGGACTGAGTCTTGGGCTCCACCATCCTAGCTTCCGGCTCCACACCTCATGGGTCCTTTCTTTACTGGCTCCTCTCAAAGGCACTCATGTGCCCTCCAGAGCTTTCTTCTGTCACATTTCTGAAACTCACCTTCGTGTCCTCGGGTCTTGCCGGTTCCAGATCTTTGGCTGGTCGGGTTGCAAAACAAACAACCTGTCCCTTTTTCCCTTTGTCATTTTCGTATCTGCTTCATCTCTTGGCAAGAGCATCTTGTTGTTTACAAAATTTATTCTTGTTGATTTTTAAACTTTCTTTCTGTTTTTGGTTAACATCACTATTGTTTCTGGGCGGGGGAAGCAAAACATCCTTACTATAAAATAAATAAATTCAAGCAACACTGAAAACTACAAGCAAGAAAATAAAAAATCACCAACGCTCCCCACTCAGAGAGGACCATGGTTAGTGTTTGGGTGAGCCGCAGATTCTAATCATTTCTAACCACCCCCACTAATGATAATGAAAATCTCTGCCTTTCTCACCACAGGTGGGGCATATGAGTCACCAGGGTAGGCCTGAAAATAGCTGTTAGTTCCCGCCCCTCCAAGACCCCCATCCTTCACCCCCAGCCTTGCCTGGGACTCCCCTGCTCCTGCTTCCAGGCTGAAGCAGCTGGTCCAGCAGATCCTGCAGGGTGTGGTACCAACCGAGTTCCCCACCTCCAAAGAGAGTTCCACCCACTCCACACCTCTCACCTTCCAGACCGCAAGAGGCTGAGACCCAGCAGGAAGACAGGTTGGTCTCTCTGCTCTGCTGTTGTCTCCCACCCCATCCAGCATCCATTATTACAACACTGATGTTTTTTCAAGTGCAGAGCAGGCCCCAGCTTGGGCCCGGGTGCTCCTAGTGTTCAGGTCTGTCCAGTGAGGTGGGGAATGGGACATTCCCAGGCTGTTTCCACCGACACCCCCCCCCACCGTCCCCCACTCCCCGGAGGACCGTCACCTTTAGGGAAGAAGGGGCCACCACTCAGGACTGACCAGGGCCTGGGCTCCTTTCTCCCAGAGGAAGCATGCATTGGGGTTAGAACCCAGTCGAACACAGATGCGAAGGAGTGAGAGAGCTGTAAGGAAAAACAGGGTGCTCTAAAATGGGGACTCTAGCAGCCCTGCCTTAAGGCCACTTAGAGGCACAAAGGCTCTGGTACTTTGGGGACAGACATTTCTCCAGGAGTAGCAAACACAGTTGTCGGCCCCAGCATGGGTGGCAGAGGCCCCTGCCTTCGAGGTGGGTAGGTGGAGGGCATGGCAGTGCCCACAGCAGGGGCAGGTCTTCCCTGGGGAGTGTGGCTGTCTCAGACCTGCTCCTGATCATCTGTGAATCCTCCCTGGTATCCAAAGAAACCCTTCAGAACAGCTTGATACTGACCGTGAACGTGATGGGAGCGAGAGCCAATGGCACTCACAGGGTGACTTGCTGTTTTTTTCGGGGGAAGGTGGTGTCAGGGCATGGGTTTAGGAGGCAGACAGATCCAAGAGTGTCCTAGCTGAGTCTGTACTGGCTGTGTGACCTTGAGCAAATTACCTAAGGTCTCTGAGCCCCAGTTGCCTCATCTACACTGTGGGTGCATCAGCACCCACTGGTGGGCCTGTTTTAATGACCTTGTAAAGCATCCTGGGCTGTGGAGTCCTAGGAGAGGCCTCCTTACATCACAGTTTTGTTTTTGTCCACTTACCCTTGGGGTGGCTGCTGGGGAGAACTGAGTTACATAAGTGGGGGGACTTCAGGAAGCTGCAAATCTGTCCCAATTGGCTCCTCATTATTTACAACAGTGGGTTTAAGACTGGTTTTTTGCACCCATCTTTGCATCTCAACCTTGTGCCTTATTACTTCTCAAAATAAATCTTACCCAAGTAATCAATACTGAACCAAGCAGGGGTGAGGGATGAGAACCCAGCCACCTGCTCCCTTTGCACCCCCTGCCCCCAGTGTCTGCTAGGGTTTATGAAAGGCTTGAGTCACTATTGTAGGCCAGTGAGGGTGACACTGCCCACAGGAAGTAGAAGGGGCAGATAGATATCCAGAGGGGGTCATTTTCCCAACACATTTCTCACTGTGCTTATGTACAGACAGAAAGCAGAGAAGCCTTCAGGTCAACAATGGGTATGTCTGAATGTCCTATAGGGCTGGGGTCACCAAGCTGGGGCAGGCTGGGCAACTCTGACCCCAAAAGCCACCCTCCCTCTGGATGGCACTGACATGGCCTAGGCTGTCCCTGTGGGAAGCACAGGGATCTGAGTGATGACATCCTCTGCATCACCAGAACAGACCCAGCCAGAACCCCATCAGCCACTGTCCAGCTGCCTGACCTGGGGCAAGTGCTTGCCCCGAGCCTCAGCTGCCTCGTCTGTAAAATGGGGCAGTGGTCATTGGGCTCTAGATGAGAGAGGTGTGGGGAGGATGCAAGTTCTTGTAAGGCTTGGAGCTCTGCTCCTGGCACCTAACAAGCAGGGGACCAGTGGTACTTATTATTGTTAGTAGTAATAATAGGGATCGTAAGCAGGTGCGGGCCAAACGGAACCTTGGAACTCTCATCCCAAACGGGAAAGGAACTGGATTAAGGTCAAACAGCGGGGTCAGGACTCAACCCCAGGACCTGACACCCGCGCCTCCTTGCCCAGCCTTCAGGGGAAGGCCAGCTAAGTGGAGGCCACCCTCCACCTGCAGCATCATTTGGGATGGAGGTTACAGATCCCTGAAGATTCCCCAAAGGTTTGCTGGTGACTTCCTGGCTAATCTCAGTGGCAGGAGAGTCTCTGATCCTGATGTATCACACACACACACACACACACACACACACACACACACACACACACACACACCCGGCTCCTGCGGCTATTTAGTCTGGGCAATCAGAAGGGGTTGGGTGCAAGGGGTGGTCAGGCAGAGGTGACATGGAGCAGAGGTGACAAATGCCGTTTAGACACAGACATGTGTGTAGTATGTAGCAGTTTGCAGGGTGGGAACCCTCGTCCTTTGCCAAGGGAAGGGAGGCATCACCGGCCCACTTTGAGGATGAGGAAACTGAGGCACTCTGCTCAAGGCCACAGGCTGATAGTGGGTGTGGCCTCTCTACTCTGCACTTTATGACTGGGGCCTGGGGCCTTGCCTGAATCTTAGGAAATCACATCGTCCCTTTATGAACTGTACCCTGGTCATCCATTGTGCCTGAGAAGCTGTGGGAATTTGCCAGAAGGATCTTGAAACCTTCCAGACTCCCAAACAGATGTGAGAGAGGGTTTGGCTCGAGAGAATGGTTAGTCCCTGGCCCCATCCCACAGAGGGAAACTGAGGCTCAGTAAACTGAGGGGCTTGTCCAGGTCCCGTGGGAAGCAGTGTGGCCTGTAGCTTCTGCTTGGGGCCCCCCTGGGACCGCAGTCCCCTCCTCCAAGGGCACCCACCGTCACCCCCAACTCCAGTGTCCCAGTCCTCTGGAGGAAGATTTCTGTGGTCCCAGTTGGGGGTGCCAGACTGCCAGCGACGAGTGTTTTTTTTTAATCCCAGCCCTGCTGACTTAGACGATTATTCTTATTTAAGGCGGGGAAGAAACTGGAGAGCATGGCAGCCGGTCACCTCCCAGTGGCGGTGGCCCACCCGGCCTGCCCAGCTCCAACCTGGGCGGGAAAAGGAAGGGGGAGGCGGGAAGGAGGAGTAGGAAAGCGGGGGAGGAGAGAGGGAAAGGGGAGGGGAAGGATAGAGGAGGAGGGAACGGAGGGGGTAGGAAATGGAAGGAGGGAGAAGAAGGAAAAGGGGGAGAAGGGGAGGGTGAGGGGGTTAGTGGGACTAGAAAACGGAGGGGGGAGAGGGAGTCGGAGGGAAGAAAGGGGCAGGAAGGAGAGGATTAGGGAAGGAGGGGAAGAGGTGGATGGGGAGGGAGGGAGAGGGGGAGGAAAACGGGGAGGGCACGGAGAGAAACAACCCCCCCCCTTTGGCCGCTCTGTAAGCAGATAGGAGAGAGGGAGTTACACAGATGAATAATTTACTACGAAAATGCAAAAAGAATTTAGAAACTCTCAATTTATAAATATTTATTTTCACAAGTTCGACCCCTTCCGATTCGCTCCTCCTTGTTTGCCCTTCTCTTTATCCTTTGGGGGCCCCTTCTACCTCCCCCATCTCTGGTCTCTCCTCGGACCTCCCTCCCTGTCTGTCTGTCTCTCTCCTCCTGTCTTGCCCTCTCCGTCTCCGTCTCGTGGTCTCTCGTGCTGTGGTGGGGGCGGGGTGTGTTTTCCAGTCTCTCCGCAGCCTCTGTCTCTCCTGCCTGTGTGCGTCTCTATCTCTGTCTCTCCCTCCCACTGTCTCTCCACCTGTGGGTGTCTTTCCATGTCTGTGTCTCCCCCACTCTCTCCTATCTGAGGCCCCAGCTCCCGCCTCCGATCCCGGAGCAGGAGGACGCCGGGCCCGGTGGGACCAACGAGGGGATAGGGGACCCCTTTGAAGGCCCGGAAGGGGAGAGAGGTCGTTTCCCCGGCAACCGGCGGGCGAACTGAGGAGCCGCGGGGGATGCGGATTAACAGGCCCGCTGGGACCTGCGGGGGCGGGGAGCGGCGGGAGCCACGCCCCGGTCACGCCCCTTACCCCACTGTGGGTGGGGCGCACTGGGGTCGGGATTTCGGAGATTCTTGGGCTCGGCGGTGGAGGCGGGAGGTGGGGCCTTGGCAGGTAATCAGTCAATCAGTTAATCGATCAGTTAATCGGTGGAGCAGTCAGTCAGAGGCCCGCATAACAGGAGAGGTTAAGAGCGCCTGGTATGGAATGGGAGCTGAGTTCCACTCCCTCTTTGACTTCTTCCTGGCAGTGCGCCCCCCCTCCAGTCTCCCCTCTGAGCAATGGGGCTACAGCAGCACCTGCCTGCTCTCCATGCTATCACCATCGCCCTTGTCCGCCTCTTTAATTCACAGATGGCAAATGGAGGCCCCAAGAAGAGAAGCGCCTGGTGAACACGGTAAGGGACCTGGGGGGTCAACAGTCATTTAACAAGCTCAACAGCACTGACTTCTTCAGGTGAGCTGGGACCTGGGCGCACAGAGGTCATCCCACTCTTGACAACACCTGGCTCTGCCTGACCCACAACAGGTCCTGGTCTCCAGTCTCCATTCCTCCTGGTGTGGGGAAACTGAGTCTCAGAGGGGCAAGACGGATGGCATCGTTGCCTAGACCCGGGAGTTGGATGCCAGCTCCTCCCCTGAAGCCATTTCTGAGCCTGACCCGTGAGCTCAAGAGATCTGGGGTCAGGAAAGCATGTCGTTAATAATGGAGGACTCCCTGGGTCACCAGCTGGAAGGGCTTCCTGGCCTATACTCCCCATCCCTGCAACTTAAAACCAAGGGTGTCATTTAATAGGTGGACTCATTGTTTGTTTGAACGCAACCCTTCTGATAGGTACCAGCTCCTCCTTGCCTCCCTGTTGCTGGACTGGAAGATGATGAAGGGCTGATGCAATGCTCTCCCCCCCTGCTCCCCCCACAGGGAGGACTGGGGAGTCACCTGGGTGGCGGCTATTTATGATTTCAGCAGCCCCTTTAAGCCTGAGCTGCAGGCCAGCTCTGTTTGAAGCTCCCAGCTCTAATCTGGCTGCAGCAATCCTCAAATCAGGGTCCTGGGGTTATTCCAGTGGAGGGGACAGGCCTGGCCTGCTCTCACAGGGCTGGGGACAGCTGCATGGCCACCTCCACCCCCTCCCTGTTCCCATCCCTCCACAGCAGGCAAATGCATCACACACACACCTCTCTGTGCAGCAAACATACACTCATCCTTCTTGCCTCCAGCGCTCTCCCACGTGGACCAGCATTGTGTGTCTGTGGGCCCCTAGTCCCGAGGCCTGGCCTGCTCACCAGCCGCTTCTCCTCCCAGGAAAGATTTCTCCAGAACTCTGTGGTTCTAGACTCTACGTCTCAAACATTCTAGACTCGATGTCCCATACCCTGAGAGCCCCAGGACCCGCTAAGTGTGTTTAGAACCCTGACCCCCAGGAACTGATGGAAAACAAGGGTGAAGATATGGTGGGGAGAGGAGATGGTCCAGATGCCCAGTGGGACCCAGAGCTCTCCATGCTTCAGCTCATCCCTGGAGAAGTGTTCTTAGTCCCCTTTTACTGATGGGGAGGGTGAGGCTGGGAGCAATAGCCTACCCAAGATCACCCAGCTAGTGAGAGGAGTAGCTGGGACTTGAGCCAAAGTCTCTGGGGCCCTAGACACTCCCACACAGCTACACTGCAGGCTGGGGGAGCCATCTTTTACCCGATGCTGGTTGGGGGTTTCCCCAAGGCCTTCTGGGATTGGCAGGACAGCTTGTATCTCTGCCTGGCACACTGTGGGTGTCCGGTTCATACTCCCTGGCCGATCGCATCTATGGGAGAGAACAGAGGAAAGAGAGGCAAGGAGGACCCTCAATGGGGCTGTGCTGCCTGCAGCCAGCTGGTCTCACAGGGGAGCCAGAGATCAGGCTGTGGAGTTACTTGCATCTCAGGTGTGCCCGAGAGAGATTAGAGAGATCAGAGAAGACCAGGCCCAGAGACTCAGGGACCCTCATGTCAGACAAGGCACGGGATGGGGAGCTAAGACCTGGGATTCAGTTCCAGAACTAGCTGTGTGACCTTGGGCAAAGCCTTCTACCTCACTGGGCCTCCGTAAACATAAGGACTCGCTAAGGATTCTTTCAGGTTCATCCTCCCCCAAACCTCTCTTGAACACCGGCAACTTCACAGGCTGTGCGAGCAGTGAGCTCCGGGGAGTGGGTGCCTGGTCTGGGGGAAACCAGGGTGCAAATGACACACTCCCAGCACTAGGCCATGTGCCAGTGGAGGTGCTGAGCAGTGAATAAGGTTACCGTGTATTCAACACTTACTATATGCTTTATCCTGTTGTCTTGTTTAATCTGTGCAACAACCTCATGCAGGAGTTACAATTATTAACCCCATTTTCCAGATGGGGGAACTGAGACCCAAAAAGGCAAGTACTTGACTGAGTTCATAAAGCTGGCAAGTGTGAGCCCAGGAGGACCCCAGCCTTGGGACACTGCAGCTGCCTTGATGGTTGTTAGACAAGTCTTTAAAGTGGAGGCCTCCTAGGAACTGAGTCTAGAAGGATCCTTCCAAGTGGAAAGGGAGGCAAAAGGGCACTCCGAGCAGAGGGCACACCTGAGCAGAGCCGTGAGCAGAGAGCACACCTGAGCAGAGCCGTGGTGAGAAGACAGGAGAGCTCCTGCATGTGGTAATGACTGAAGGGTCTGGCGTGATGGGCAGTGAGGATGGGGTGGGGACCTCCTGTTAGCACCCGAGGGGTCTAGAGGACACGGTTCCAGTTATCCAGTGCTGAGTGCCAAACCACCTGAACGCAGTGGCTACAAACAATACTTGTTCATCTCTTTTGTGATGCTGAGGTTGACTAGGCTCAGCTGGGCGGTTCTTGCTTAGGGTCTCTTGTATGGTTGCAGTCAGCAGCTAGGGCTGCGGTTATCAGAAGGCTCCACTGGGCCAGTGCCCAAGATGGCCTTATCGTGGTGCCTCATATGCCCTAGACTGGATCTCTTATATTGCGGCTCAAAGCTCCGAGAGGTGGGGGTAAAACTGCCGGGTCAGTGAAGGACCACCCTGGGACTACCCCAGTGTCACTTCTGGCAGCTGATACTGATCAAAGCAGTCATGTGGCCCACCCAGACTGAAGGGAGGGGAGACTAGACCCCACCTCTCAATGATGGGAGTGCCAATGAATTTGTGACAATGTGTAATCTGCTACAGATGCTAGTGTGTATTTCATGGTAAAAGTGGAGTTCATGGTTAAATAAATTGTGGGAAAGGCTGGATTAAGCAAAATCGAGTAGGATTCCTTCCTATAGGACTTCTCAGAGCCTTCACATGCCGATGGGGATGTTTGGTCTCCAACATAGGGAAGGAACTTGGAGGATTTCCCAACCAATTTTGGGGAACCCATTTAGTTTGACAGCCTAGGGGGTCCCATCTTGGGTGGGGGTACCCAGCCTGGGAGGCTGGGAGGCAGGCTCCTGCTGAGCACCCCACATTGGACAACATTGCTTCAGAGTCCCCAGATCTGTCTTGCAGGGCACCATGCATGGAGACGTTAAGATGCAGTCGGGTCTGTCTCTAGCTGGTCCCACCTTCCCTGGGGCATCTGGATGGGTGCAGAGCTGCCAGGTCTGCTAGCCAGGGCCACCTTCCTCTGGCAGGCTAGGGCCAGGTTACAGCAGCTCAGGTGACCACAGCCTCTTATCACCCACACCCCTCTCCCTTTCTCCCTCCCTGGAGCCTCTGGGCACTCACCTGCAAGGGGGCCTGGTGGAAGGCCAGTGGAAGCAAAGGGCAGGGAAAGGGGCCTCACTGCCTGACGGTGTGACCTCGCCCCAGTCTCCCCCAGGTTGAGCCTCAGTTTCCTGTCATGCACATGCAGTGATGTAGGCACCTCTTTCCAGTTGTGTTTGAGGACGCCGCTCAAGGAGCTGGTCTTTACCAGATGTCTACGGGGCAGGCAGACCTTGCACCCAGCGAGTGTCAGGCACCAGCTCACGTCCTTTTCTCTGGGCCTCAGTGTCCTCGTCTGTAAAATGGGACGGAAGTAGTCCACTGCATGAGGTTCGGTGAGGATTAACTAGGTGACAGGAGCGGAATTAAGAGATGGAACCCCAAGCCCTCCCAGCCCAAAGGTCTCAACCACAAAGGCCTGTGTGCACCCTGGTTTGGGCTGCTGGCTGAGTGGGGTCCAGTGAGCAGTGCCACAGCTTTGGGCAGTGACTGCTGGGTACAGTGCCTACATGACACTGGGCAGGGAGGGCTGTCTGCGGGCCTGTCCCAGGGGGCCAGGGAGCACTGCCGGTGAATGCTGCAGTGGGGTCGTCTCCCCTCCCCCCTCTGCAGGCTGCTGCTTCTCCATCTCGGGTTCCTGGTCCAGGGCCAGCTGCCACTGTTGCTTCAGGAGGCCATGCCCCGCTGCTGAATGTCCCTGGACAGAGGCAGGCAGGGGAGGGCTGACTCCTGGAGAGCAGGAATCCCTCCCCGCTCCTCAACCCTCACTTCCTGGACTAGACCAGCAAAATGGCCCTGGGGAAAGTCTCTGAGCCTCTGAGACAGACCTCATCACTTCCCAGCTGTGTCCTTGGGCATATGGCATCAGGCCTCAGCTCTCCCCTCTGTAAATGACCCCAAAGATGTTCCTGCCTTGAGAGGCTGGAAGGGGGATTCGATGAGCTGCTACCCCTCCCTCAGCTCAAGGTGGCTCTGGCATCCTTTGGGCTAGCACTTTCCCCCCAACCAGGGGTCCCAGCCAGAGTCCCATGGGTGGAGTGGGGGGTGGGGGAAAGCCCCAGGAGCAGGGTCCAGATTTTCCCACCAGCCAGGTCAGAGGACCAAAGCTGGAGTGTGGGACACCCAGGGCACCCTGGAGTGGGGGGGTCCCTGGGCTCGTCCTCTCCATTGGCCCCTGCGTGCTGCCCACAGACATCTCCACAGAGCCAATGAGCCCCCCAGACATCACTATCCCCCCAGGATGCTCACAGCCACCCCACTTCCTTCCCGTCTCTCACCTCCCACAACCTGCAGCCACTCTACCCCACAAGGAAACGCACATCTGCCCACCCCTCCCAGCCACCACCCCCTCTATTCCTCCTTCACGTCTTGCCTGGACCCCACAACAGCCTCTTCCAGGGCCCTGGCCTCCAGGATGGTCCCCAAGGGCCCACGCTCCATGCAGGGCCCTGCAGGTCTGATGGGGTGTCGCCCCCAGCTCATAACGCCCCAGTAACTCCTGATGAAACCTGCTCCTTCCCTTGGCTTTGAAGGCTCCAGGGACCTGGTTCCTACCCACCCCTGCAGCCTCCCCATCTCCACCCCCTACGCCTGCTCCAGCCAGACCAGTTCCTTTCCAGGCCTTTGGAACCTTGCACATGCTGTCTGGAGACCTAGAATGTTCTCTTGTCACTCACTGGGTTAGGTATTCATTCTTTAGGACTCAGCAGGGGCTTCTCTTCCTCCGGGAAGCTGCCTGTGACCCTTCAGCCATGGTCTGTTTCTTTATCTGTGGCCCTACTAGACTGTCCTGGAAGGGTGTGTGTCTTGTTTGTCTCTAATCTAGCCCAGGGCCTGGCCAGGAGGTGTGGTCACCAGTACTGGTGGAAGGATGGCTCAGTCCCACCCAGTCCCATTCTGGCCCTGCCCCACCCCGCTACCCCGTCCTTCCCTGGGGCTCGTTGGCCTTTCCCTTCTCTGCATTCTCTCTACAACCAAGCGCTGTGCTAAGAGCACCCAATTTGAAGTCATAGATCTGGGTCCCCATCCCAGCTGGGCTGCCTCATAGCACTGAGCCTCAGTTCTCCCATCTGCAGAATGGGAG